CGTGCGGCGGCGCCGCCGGGGGATGCTCGCGCTGGGCCCGGCCTCTCCCTCTTCAACTTAGGGCGGCGGCGGGCCCGCGCCCCTGGCTCCCGGGCCATGGCGCTGAGGGAGCTCAAAGTGTGTCTGCTGGGGGTGAGTGGCGGCTGGCCGGCCGGGAGGGCCGCGGGAGGCCGGGCAGGCCGAGGACCCAAGCGTGCCCAAGTCCCCTCCGCCCCTTCCCCCAGCCTCCGTGCGGGACTTGCCCCGGGACCCTCCCTCCGGCCCCCGGGTCATCCTTGCCCCCCTTGCCACCCGCCCCTGAGGGTCCTACTGGCCGGAGGGACCCTCTCCCCTGTTCCTCCCTGGAGCCCAAGGACTCCTCCCGCCCCCAGAGGGTGAGGAGCCTTCCCTGCCTCTCCGTTGCATCTAGGTTGAGAGCAGCTCCCAAATAGTTTCCTACTAAGGTACTAGTTAGAAGTTGGCCAAGTCTTCCAGAGTGAAACCAATAGCAGGTCTTCAGGTTTTACAAGCAGCGTCCTCTCCTTTCTGGTTTGTTTGGAGTTTTTGAACTTGTGGGTTCGCGCGGGCGGGGCGCCGCCCCCGTCTCGCAGAGTTAGTTTCTTGGGGGAAAGTTCAGATCACGAAACTCCAAGAACTAGTTGGAAGCTTCAGCTTCCTGCCTTGTCAGGGCAACTTTGCCTCTTGAGATCCCGCTTTGCGCAGTGAATGCTCTCTTGCCTGAGTTGCTGCTTTAGAGAGTGAAAGGGATTCCAATCACTAGCCTTCCCCCTTCCCAAATAGGGTGGGGCTGTGATTTATCAGGGATTACTCAGAAGGAATTCAAGAGTTCATAGTTTACTTATACACGTTAACAAGAGAGTTTGTCACTTTTCACACTAAGCAGCAACTTTGGGTTTTTCAGAAGATTCTAATGGCTCCTAAAAACTGCAGAACCCCTCTCCTGCAGTGCATTTTGAAATCTAATTACTCCCGCTGGATGTTTATGAAAACCTTCTTTGTGTCTCTTAACTTCTGAAACTTAGCATGTACAGTGATTTTTCTGAAATCCTGAACCCATGGCCCAATGTAGTTTTCGCTGTCTGCAAGCAAGGAGATTTATTTGTGTGTCTCCCTTCTCTTTCAGGATACAGGTGTAGGTAAATCGAGCATCGTATGGCGGTTCGTGGAAGACAGTTTTGATCCAAACATCAACCCAACAATAGGGTAAGAGATTAAATCTGTTGAATATGTAGCTAAAGGTGTATTGGAAGTCCTTCCAAATTAACAAGTGTGTTACGGGAGAGGGAGTGGGTATGCGTTCACCGGTGGCAGTCTCCCATCATCTCTGGAAGGACTTGAAAGTACAGTGAGGACCGGTGTGTTTTGGGAAAGTTGTCTTTTGATTTGTGAGGTGAACACTTCAAACTAAAAATACAAGTTACAGTTTCAGGTAGAGTGTACTTCAGTCTGTAAATATGAACGACAATTACGTCTTGAAATAAAGCAGAAGAAAAGAAAGAGGTCCTGGTAATACTCTTTCAGGGACATCAACCGAAAGATACTTAGATGGTTTTAGTTCTTTTCCTGAAAAGTGGGAGGCATCTGTCAGACCGGGAGGGCTGGCACATGGGTAAGTGGACGCCCAGGACAGCGCTTCTGGCCGCGTCACCACTGCTCCTGTCTCCTTCTCATACATTCCTGTGCAAGTAGGAATCATGAATTAATACATTAATGTTGAACTGGCAGCTTTTTCCTGGTGTCTGGCTCTTGGGGTAAGTGAAACTGACTGGCTATATAGGTTTTTGACTGTGAGAAAACCTTTCAGGGCAACTAAGTATTGTGATATTAAGACTTTTGCTGTGAGAAGTTGTGTCTTATAGGTTTTACTACTGTGCAGGGCTTATAAAATTAAATAGCTTCTATGCTATGTTTATTGCAAACCCCCAATCAAATGGTATCTTCCATTTAAAGAAACATTCAGTGCTCCTGCAGAAACAGTTTACAACGTACACAATCCCCTTTGCGGGCATGGAGGTGAAACCACCACTATCGTTTTGAAATTAAAATGCCTTTCTGTATCCTTCAAGAAAGAACTGCGTATGTGCACTTGTGTAAAACGTGACCTCATCCGCCTTCGGGCCTGCCTGTTGCTACCTGCCTGGGAAAGCGAAGTGACAGGAAGTGATAGCAAGTAGTGCTGGTGACTCAGTGCGTGACACGTTTCACACCAGGTCAGAGCTGGAAACACGTGTCTGGAATACGCAGACACCACCTTGGTGAAAAGTGCTCTCTCAGGCGAGGAGACAGAACAGGAGGGGTATGGTTCCGGTGGTGGTGGTGTGGCCGGCAGCCCCGTCCTGGGCGTCCACTTCCCCAGGCTGGCGGACGCTGGGGTTCCCCACCTTGGCTCCCGCTCCCTTCGCCAGGAGGTCTTGGCTCACGTTTCACAGGCAAGAGGAAGATGAGGTTTTCCCTTCATTTCCCTCCACCTGTCCTGGTTTCTTTTCTCTCGGCCTCCGCAGGTATCTTCCTCCTTTTGTGACCAGCTCCCCTCACACCCGAGCCCTGGAGCCCCCTCATCACCACTTGTCCCTTTCTTCTTCCCGCGCTCCGCCTCCTTGTCACGGCCTGCAAAGGTGTCCCCGACTCACCCGGTCCTAAGACCATACCATTTCCCAAGCCTGCCGTGCCGGTGGCGGGAACTCCTGGAAGAGAGGTTGCTGCTGCCTCAACTGCTGTTCCCTCTTGGACCTACTGTTGTCTCCATTCCACCCCCAGCATCCCACCAAAACCACCTTCCCTCCGTACTGGTTTCCATCGAGTTGACAAAAACAAGAAACAAGGGCTTTTTTTTCTTTTTTCTTTATTCACTGAGCGCTTTCTATATGCCACATGCTGGACTGGGTGCTGGTAATTTAAGCCAGGGGTCAGCAGACTGGACCTTTGGCCTCCCTGCTGTTTCTATAGATAAAACTTTACCGAATCACAGTCGTACTTACGCACATACATACGCACATACTTACGCACATACTGTGTCCACTGCTCTCTGGCTACAATGGTAGGGTTGAATAGTTGTGACTAAGGTCCTGTAGCCCAGAAAGTTAAAAATATATGCTGTTTGGCCCTTCTCAGAAAGTTGGCCAACCCCTAATGTAGATAGAATCGGTTCCTGCCCTGGTGGACCTTCCCTACAAGGAGGAAAGAGATACATCCTAAAACTAACGTGCAGGAAGTGATTTATTGGACCTTTATCTGTGCTACAAAAGAGAAACATGGGCGTGTGCTGAGAGCATGATAGGTAACGGGGCTTGGCCAAACAAAAGGAATGGCTGATTCTCAAGGGAAACGGTGGAGGTGTAACGCATTTGGAAGCCCTGTTTAAAAATTGGAAGATGAGTGGATTATGCAGTCTTTAATTTTAGCTGTGTTGGAGGGTGCATGGTAGTACCTCACTCTGGTTTTAATTTCCATTTCCCAAAGATGGACGGAGGGCATAGGTGCAGAGGGAGGTAGAGGGGCAAAATGTCTAAATTCCCATTTTCCACCGAAAGCTCCAATTTAAGTCCAGGCCTGATGGCGCCTAGGGCCCATGCTTCCCCTCACCCCACCCTGTATGACATATGTGGCCATTAGGGAAGGCCCATGAGTGTGGGAGGAGTGAGGGCCTTAGGACGGGAAGAGGGATGGCTACCAAGTTCTGCAGGGGACGAGGTCCAAATCACGGGTTGGAAATATGGGCCTGGCCCTAAGGGGAAGCCTGGAGAAGCTGACTTGAGACTACAGTGCACAGGTGAAGTTGAGTTGTGGGGGGGATGAGAGCGCTCGTGGGAAACGTGGGGAGCAGGACACTGCTGGGGAAGACCTCCATTTGCAAAACAAGCGTTGGGGGGCGGGAGAGGAGAAGACAACAAGGGAGCATGATCACGGAGGAAGAGAACTAGGGAAGACAAGGGTTGCCCTCCAGCACACCAACACCTGGTAAGTGGTGTTGGAGCCTCCCCTGAACTCCAGGACCTGGCCACCCCCCCCCCCCCCCCGCTATGCCCTGTTCTCCCGCCTCATAGTTGCTGCCGTCCCCCCGCCGCTCACTTCCCTCAACGCCAACAACTAGTTAACTTCCACACTTCAAAAACTTTCTTCTTAAACTTTTGATTACAGTTTCTTTTAAAGAGCAAAGGTGTTTTTTGATCAAGTCCAGTGTATCAATTATTTTTATAGTTCATGTTTTTTGTGTCTTACACATCCATCCAAAATCATCAAGATTTTCTCCTATGCTTTTGTCTAGAGTTCTTACGCCTTTATGTTTGAAATCTTAGTTTGTGACTTAATTCTACTAGCTGTAGTTTACTGTGCGAAGGAAGTCAAGGATCATTTTTTCCCATGTGTCAGTCTAGTCATTATAGCAACATCTGTTAATGATGAATTCTGCATTTATTTAATTAAATTACCTTGGCGCCTCTGTCAAAAATTAGTATGTATGTGTAGGTCCATTTCTGTTGCATGGATCCATTTGTGTATCGTAGTGCTAGTACGATACGTGGCCCTGGTTGCTGTAGATTTGTAGACATCTTGAAATCTGCAAATGTTGAAATCAGGCAGTGTACGGCCATTGTATTCATATTTTTAAAAATCTGTTTGACTCCTCTCAGTCCTTTATATTTCTGTTTGAACTTTAGAATCGTAATGCCCAATTTGTGAAGAAAAGAAAAACAAAAAAACCCTGAAATTGTCATTGGGAATATAGCTAATCTACTGAATAATTTGGAGACAGTCGACATCTTAACAATATTGTGTCTTCTTATCCGTAAACATGGCATACTTGTGCACTAATTTATTTCTTATTTCTGTCCACAAAGTTTTTTAGTTGTCAGTGTGCAGGCTTTGCACATATTTTGTTAAATTTTTCCCAAGTAGTTTGTTTTTATGATTAGCAGATGGAATTTTTTTATTTCAGTTTTTATTTATTTATTTTGAGAGAGAGAGAGAGAGAGAGGGCACGTGAGAGCAAGCACACGAGCAGGGGTGGGGCAGAGAGAGAAGGAGAGAGAGAGGAGGGGGGAAGAGAGAGAATCCCAAGCAAACTCATGCTCAGCATGGAGCCAAACGCGAGGCTCAATCTCATGACTGAGATCATGACCTGAGCTGAACGCAAGAGTCAGCCGCGGGACGCCTGGGTAGCTCAATCCGTTGAGCCTCCAACTCAGCTCAGGTCATGAACTTGTGATTCCTGAGTTTGAGCCCCATGTCGGGCTCTGTGCTGACAACTCAGAGCCTGGAGCCTGCTTTGGATTCTGTGTCTCCCTCTCCCTCTGTTCCTCCCTTCCCCCCCCCCCCACACTTTGTCTCTCAAAATAAAGATTAAAAAAAAAAAGAGCCAGTGCTTAACCAACTGAGCCACCCAGCTGCCCCTAATTTCAATTTATTTTTAATGTAATTTATTGTCAATTTGGCTAACATACAGTGTGTAAAGTGTGCTCTTGGTTTTTGGGGTAGTTTCCTGTAATCTCAATTTTTTTAAATGTTTTTATTTTTGAGAGGGAGGGTGGGAGCATGAGTGGGGGAGGGGCAGAGAGAGAGGGAGACAAAGGATCTGAAGCAGGCTCCACACTGTCACTGCAGGGCCCACTGTGGGGCTTGGACTCATGAACCGCGAGGTTATGACTTGAGCCAAAGTCAGCCGCTTAACCGACTGAGCCACACGGGCACCCCCCTAAATTCAATTTTTAATTGTTTGTTGCTGAAATATAGAATAAATTTTATTTATATGTGTTGGCCTTGTATCTTGTGACTTCCTAAATTTACTTAGTTCAGGCACTTTTTTCATAGATGCTTTGGGATTTTCTTTTTTTATTTTTTTTTTTTAAAAAAAATTTTTTTTTCAACGTATTTATTTATTTTTGGGACAGAGAGAAACAGAGCATGAGCGGGGGAGGGGCAGAGAGAGAGAGGGAGACACAGAATCGGAAACAGGCTCCAGGCTCCGAGCCATCAGCCCAGAGCCTGACGCGGGGCTCGAACTCACGGACCGGACCGCGAGATCGTGACCTGGCGGAAGTCGGACGCTTAACCGACTGCGCCACCCAGGCGCCCCGATGCTTTGGGATTTTCTTAGGTGTACAATCATGTCCTAGGTAATAGACTGTTTTACCTCTTCCTTTCCAATCGGTATGTCTTTTATTCTTTTTTTTTTTTTTTTTGCTTGCCATATTACATTAGCTGAGACC